GGTAAAAATGTTGTGCATCAGCTCTCAGTAACCTTAGAAGATTTATATAATGGTGCAACAAGAAAACTAGCTCTGCAAAAGAATGTGATTTGTGACAAATGTGAAGGTATGGTCTTTTAACAATCTTTTCTATAACTGAAAATGGAACTGAATGAAGCCTTTCTGGAGATACAAAACTCAAAAATAATACACCACCTAAATCTTGAAGGGTGCAAGTATAAAGAAAACCACCTAAACCTACTACCTAGAGAAATATTAGCAAAATAGCAGCAGTTTTTTATGTGTATATTTTCAAGCAGTTGGGATCAGTCTAATTTGGTGTCTCTTTTTTTTCGTAATATTATTTGTACAAGTTCTTTGGAAATAGTATCTTACAAAAAGAATAAACTAAAAATGTTCTCATCTCACAGATAAAGAACGTCCTACGAATTGTGCTTTGGGTGTATGTTTAAAATTCAAAATTCTGAAGTGGCTTCTTGGGAAAACAACAGTGTTTATATGTTTATAGACAGTTGAGTCTGATTACAGCAATATTTTATCAGATAAAAAGGCTGAATTGTAGGTTCTTCAGGCAGCATTATATCACACCTTGCAAATGTTATTAATAAAGTGTATTCATGAAGTATCTTATTAAAACATAACTATCCAACACTAGGCAAACAATTTAATTTCCTTTTCAACTATTTAGGCCGAGGTGGTAAGAAAGGAGCAGTAGAGTGCTGTCCCAATTGCCGAGGTACTGGGATGCNCCTGGGTGAGAAGCGGAGCAGCAGCGGCTGCCTCAGGTGCGCAGAGCAACGCGCTCCTTCCCGTTCCCCCACACCGGCTTCGGCCTTCTCACGGGTGAGTTTCAGCTGTCGCGCTTCCCTTCAACCCAAGGCTGGCGCCATTGGCAGCGCTGGGAGGCTGGATGGAGCCGCGGTCGGGAGGCGGTTGGCTCCGCGTGGGCGGTTGTTGGTTCCAGGATCCACGATTCTCTTTTTGGAGGGCTGGTGTGGTGCCCCGGCAAGCCATCCCCGGCACATAGTGAGTGGGCCCGAGACTGTTCATAAGGCTTCCCTACTTCCCATGCAGCCTGAGGTCTCCATGGACCTGCCGCCTAAGGCTCTTTCCTCTGTGCGCGCCCCCTTCACCCGCGCTCCCGGGGTGGGGGTGGGGGGCGAATCTACGCGCACGCGCGAGAAGAGCCAAGGGCGAGGGGCTGCGGGAGGATCGGAGAGGAGGCTACGGTTTCGCTTCTCCGGTCTCCCCTCCTCTTTGTTGAGGGCTGGGCTTCTACTCCTTCGATTCTGGGTGAGGAAGAAAGAAAGGAAACCTTAACGGTCGGCACCAAGTGCAGAGGGAAACCTAACGACGTGTAAGCTACGCTGGCTTGTGGGGACGAGGGATTCGGCGGTCAAAGTAGAGGAGCCATGAGTCCTGTGATAAACATCCTTAGGATTGAGGGGGAGGGAAGATTGCTTTCGGGAACTGGCGTTCTTAATCCGTTTCGTAAACAATTCCCTGTCCCCCTTGTACCCAAATGTCTTTTTCTCTAGGGAGTTTATCGGATTTACCGAAGACTGATAATTTAATAAGCAATGGACTGAACCTGATAAGTGCTCTTTTGATAACTGTCACTGCTGGGGAAGGGAAACAGGAAGAATCCAGATAATGGTCGCGTTAGCGTAGAGGGTTTGTTTCGTGTGGGAGAGTGGAAACCAGCTTCTATAAAGGAGGCTTTTGAATTATTCCCTGACAGTTGTTAGCTTATATTCAGTATGTTAGAACTTATGCCTGAATTATCAAAGGAATTGTTACCTTCTCTGTGCAGTTTAGGGAAGGCGGGGCTCTTACAATATTTGGCAAAGAACAGATTTCTCTACCTTAATTCAGATTTTACTTAATTAAAACTTCCAGTTGAAAGTCGGTTAAAACTGCATTTTCATTTTTCAGGCTGTCAAAAATGGTGAAAGAAACCACTTACTATGATGTTTTGGGAGTCAAACCCAATGCCACCCAGGAAGAATTGAAAAAGGCNTCAAATATAAAAGCTCTGACTTTGCCCTGTATGTATGATGACTTCAGTGTGCAAGATAAGTTGAATACCTGTAAAAACTAAAAAGTTTCTCCTAGCATTTGTTAGGCCATACTTTGTAATTAAGCTGAGTTATGTACATGAAATAGCTTAGACTGAAATGCTAGGTATATGTATTGACTTCAGTGTATGACCCTTAATTGTTAAGCCAAGAAGTTAAAACTCTGTATTTAACTGGCAGAGAACTTAATTTGTAGAGAAGTGTTAGTCTTTATAGTTGTTTTAAGTGGGATTCATTGTGATGCCTTTGCATTTATTCTGCCTCAACTGTTGAAGATGGCATGCTATATAATTTAGTCTGAAGTATCGGTGACAGAAGTGATACCTTTCTAAAGAAGGGGTTTGTAATCTTCTTGAGGGCTTGCATTTATACAGAACTGCATTCCCTTCTAATGTGCCATCTTTTTTTAAAATACAACTATATGAGTCTGGTTGCATTTTTTTTTCCTTCTCTTTGGACCATAAGCCTCAGTGTAGTGACTTCCAGAGCAAGCTAACTTAGAAGTTAAAGTGATGAGACCTTTACATGGAGGAGTAATTTGCATGCATGAGATAAGGAAGGTATTTTTTAGGTATGTTACAGGTTTACTTAATTCATTTAACTTCTCCAACGTAACTGTAATTCAATGTTGGTAGTAATAGCAAGTTATGAATAGCTTTAATTGTATGTTTAAAAGTCATGTTCACAAGCTTAAGTCTAGATATCAGAATTTAAGCAATTCTTGAAATGTATGAATGTCTCCTTAATATACTGATTACAAAGCATTTCCAATGTGTCACCACAGGCTTTTTTTTCCCAGAAGCAAGCATTAGCTTTTCACTAAGATAGGTAACTTTTCATTTAACTATCAATTGTTAAAATGAGTTAATACCAAAAAAAATATTTAACTGTAGTTAAATGTCAAGAGTAGGGAATGAAAGGGGGGAGTGGGGGAGGTGAGTAATGAGCCCAAAAAAGGGGTTTAAAAAAACTTGGCAGACACTGGAGTGAGAAGGGGGGCAGAGAGCTTTTCTTCCTCATCCTGACAAACGGGTTTTTAACCATCCTCAGCACTGGGTGCAAGAACAGAAGAGGTGTTCAATAAAAATTCCTAGAAGGACTAACCAAACATGTTAGTTTGGGTTCTTGCCCTTTGTGAACCTTGATACAGCATGCATCTCGCAACTAACTGGCATTTTTGAGGTCCTGGACTAAATCAAACCCCAATTGCTTGCAGGTTCTTCTAAGGAATTTTAGCATAAGCTGTTTCCTCTTTCCCACCTGAAACTTTTACTTTAGTGAAAGCTTTTCACGGGAATGGCAGACTACAGTCATGAATTCATGGGTTCGTGGCTGTGCTCAACTCTCAAAATGGCAGCATACACCATTCTGTCAAAAACCTGCAGGTTTTTATGGCTAAAGGAAAGGTTTTTAGTTTTATAAGACTGGAAAACTTTCTAAGAACCTTTCCCCACTAGTTTGTACCTAATACTAAAATTAAAAGGGCATAAAACAACTAAACAAACTAAAGAGGTTTCACTTTTTTGAAATGGTACCTAGCACAGCACCTTCACATATCTACATAGGTGCTCTACCTTTCAATATCTTTAGTTGAAACATAAAAGAGACATCCATGTGCAAAATATTTTCAAGGGTTTTGTTGGTTAAGTTTTTTCCTTTAACTGGTAATGACGCACATAAAAAAGACTTCTCTAAGTCTCAGGTCCTCTTCTAATTTTTCTTTGGAACAATAGCACATTTGCCAAACGCCCCTTCACATACAAAAGAGATGCCAAAACTGAATTCTCATAGTGGATCCTGCAACTAGTTCTACCCAAAAAATGGAGATGACATTCTCTGGAGTAGGCCAGAACACGTGAGAGAAGGCACAGCTAAGAAGAATGAGTAGATGGGTGGGAGCAGTGAAATGAGATCCTGTGCAACATCCAACATTGACTGTCTACTATCTAGGAACTGACTTCTGCTGTACTTAAGATTCAGGGACAATGTGGAGTCCCACCCACCTCACTAGATTCTAAGTCAATATGTTAACTAAAGGAGCACTTACGTTTAAAAACAGCCTCCAGAAAGGTGTAAAGTTTATTAACATCTAAAAAAAAAGGATGGAACAACAAACAGCTACTGAATATGGGAGTTACTCATTTACAAACTTTACTTCAAGGAGGCACAATTTAATCAGCATTTCAAATAAAAGATTACAATTATTCCTAGAAATATCTGCACTCTCCAAGTAAAAGATTACTGAAAACATTAACGACTGTTCCAATTAGAACAAACGAATACCTTAAAAATATAAAAAAACGGGTAACTACTACTTAAACGTGAATTTTCACAAAATTATTTTTGTCCCTAATTCAATTGACAGAGAAAAGCTGGCCCAAAAAAAAAAAAAAAGCCACACATGAATATGTCTTCATTTAAGTACATGCGCTCAAGCTAGTTTTTTAAAAAAATGATGAAATTAGGGTTTCCAGAGCTTTAGGAGTCCATCTTCACTGTAGGTAGCAATCAGGTTCTGATGAGGATGATGTGCGATACCAATCACATCCTTCTCGTGAACCTGAAAAAAGGAAAGCATGGTGTTAGGGTACATAAGTCTATAAAAAAATCACTAAAGAGGCTTCCAGAGCTGAGTGGGAAAGAGGAGTGAAGCTTCCACTTTTCACCAAAGTAATCAAGCCTCAGACAGCCTCAAAGAGGACTAAGCAAGCAAGCAAAACCTCAAATGAGACTATCACGTTGCTGTGCATATATTTTTTTAATGTGTAACACTGTCCCAAATCTTTTTTGCACTACAGCTGATCCAAGTCATCATCGCCATTTTATAAATTCTAGGCCAAGACACTGGCTGAGACCAAATGATTCCTTCAAATCAGTGAATTTGGATTGTCTAGGACGGGTCAAGGGTCAGCAAACTGGCTCACAAACCGCAGGCTCTGAAGTAAAATTGAAAATAAAACTATCATAGTTTCATTTATAAAATTTTTAAAGGATATTATTCACATAATGGTGATTATGTAAAAATATATNCTGACTAAAGATATGTTATTAATATGGATTGGAAAAGAAGAAAGTCTAAGCATGAGGAGGAAATAGACTTATTAAATATTCAAAAATGGGTTCATAACGTACCAGGCACTATATTATTTCATGTACATCAATAAAATCTGTCTCCTGAAATTGGCCATATCCCTATTTAATTTCATAGAAATAATCCATGGCCCAGCTGAGATCTGTTCAGCTTACAATAAAATGTCCTCTCCCCAATGTGTTTTTCTTTTAACCTTAACTCCTGTGAGAATTTTTTCTTCTCCCTTTGTGTGAGAAACTAAATTTAAAATAGATAATGAAAGAATTCAGGAATGGTAAGTGGTAGAGACTACCTAGAGTGTGGAAGGATTCTGAAGCCTTGTCTAGGTACCAGGGCTCACAGGTTCCATGTATGGTATTTGCTATTCCCAGTTCTCAGCTCTGTTTTAAGAATAGAGAAAGGGCATCTTTGTGAAAGATATTTTGCTATTTAAACAATGGCCTGCTGTGGTATTTGTAGTAATGGTGATTTGAAAAGATCTAAGTATGTGTCATATTTACGTTGATACAGACGAGGAGAAGACCTTTTCATGTGTATGGACATACAGCTGGTTGAAGCATTGTGTGGCTTTCAAAAGCCAATATCTACTCTTGACAACCGAACCATAGTCATCACCTCTCATCCAGGTATGGTAACTATAGATGAGCTTCTCTTTCTGTTCTAATATTTTCATTGTTTGCAAATGGAAACATAATACTTGATCAGTTACCTATCCTTGTGAGCTTAACTGAAATTGTATGGTCTTGGCTTTTTTTTTTTTTTTTTGGAAGCCTCTAGAAAATCCATAAGTGAAAAGTTAACAGGATTGCTTCACATAAATGTAGTCCTGTCAATGAGCTAGGACATTCCTGTTCTTTGTTTTCCCTGCCTCTTAAAAATGTGACTATATTTAAAGAAGAACTTCAATGTTTTTAGGTCAGATTGTCAAGCATGGGGATATCAAGTGTGTGCTAAATGAAGGCATGCCAATTTATCGTAGGCCATATGAAAAGGGTCGTCTAATCATCGAATTTAAGGTAAGTTATAAAACACTATGCTTGAAAGTGATTAGCAATCAGATAACAGATTTATACTTTCTGAATGGCAAGAAACAGCAAATTTATATATTCCCTTGTCTAGGAAGAAATTAAATTGATCTAATGCCCCTGTCATGTTGAGCATTCTTTGTTAAGTTGGGATTGGGTTTGTTTAGATTATTTGGCTATTTAAAGAGTGGTAGAGGAGGGGTACATGGCAAATGAGTGTTTAATGAAAAGCGATAACTAGGATCTTAAAATTCAGCATGACTTAAATAACTATTGTTGGTTTTTGGGAAAATACTACAGTGCTTGGTTACTAGGATGCTTCATAAAGCAACCCAACCATTTTCCTCATCTTTGATTGAATGGCCTCTTAACCACAAATAACATTAAAAGCATTTATGGGTAAAGATGACCTTTTTAAGTAAGAATAGCTTTGTTTTAAATTATCTGTTAAAAGGGATAGAATGTTTTAGGAAGGGCTTTTGTATCAAGTATTTGCTGAATAGAAAAACGTTTGTTACAGTGCAGTTTGGCTAGAACCATTATTTTTTAAAAAGACCTTGGTGATGTAAGCCTTAAAATTAGTGCAGTGCCAGATGCTATTCCTTTTAGAATATGTATTCTAACCTAGGATTGGCAAAATCACTGAAAGATGNACGGTAGCCCATGGCAGCCCACTGCAGCAGGGGCTGCAGCCTACGCCGTCGCCAGCCACTCACGGCAGCCCAGTTCCAGGTTTAGCTGTTGTTCAGCATCTTAGTTGTAGAGGGCAGTGTAACTGGCCCTCATATATGGGATCCGAACCATGGCCCTCTGGCATAACCAATGCGCCACTTGGCTGGCCCTGCAATTAACTTTTGCATATACTCTTAAATTGCTTAGGAACGGCTTGGTTAAGGGATATGTGTACTTTTCAAGGATTGGGTGGGGGTTTAGGTGAATTGCAGGAGCTCTCATTTAAATTATTCCCTTGAAATTTTTCTAAACTAGTTTACATTTTATTTTGTAATTGATTTGTAAGAACTTAGATTAGGAATATTACATTTGTAATGTGTTCTATTTTTTTATAGATTGTAAACATGCTTGTCACTTTCCGGGGCCTCAGGTTATATATACTTGTATCACTTTGTTTTCATATTACCAGGACTTAACTTTGTATTTTGTGAATTCCTTAATTTTGGCAATTTATGAAAAATGTTTTAAAATGTATTACAGCAATACATATTGTAAAAATTTTAGAAACGTATGTAACTCGAGTTACTTTTGCTACTCTGAAACAATCAACATGGTAGTCTTCAGACTTTGCTTTTTAAAATGAAACTAGTATTATACTATACAGACTGATTTGGAACTCCTAATACTATGAACATCTCATTAATACATCTTCATTAACTTAAGCCCCTACAATAGTCTTCTCCCATGTGAATCATGATGCCTTCCCCCTGTCCCCCACTCCCCCTTAATTAACCCATGTTTCATAGGCTTTGGATTTTTTCTTCCACTGAGATTGTCCCCCTTACTACCAACAGTATGTACTTGGGAGGGCATTAAGTGGGAGTGAAGCCATTTATTCTGTGCGTAACCTGTGCTCTTTAGAGTAATGGACCAACCAGCAAAACCTAGCTGAGTTTGTTTCACTAGTGTAATGAGAGAGTCACATTGCCTCACGAATGATTAAAACCAGATTATATTTTAGTTTTGTTAATATATAACACTGGTATTGTGGTTTAAGTACTTATTTTTTTAAAGCCACATATATAGAAGTATTGGGGTTAATTGGTTATGGCTGGACATTGTTTCATATATGTGGGAGAGTGACGAGGATGAAGGTATACATGAGATATTAGTCATGAGTTGATAACTGCTGGATCTAGATTGATGCCTATATAGGGATTTAGTGCACTATTGGCTGTTTATATAGGTTTAATACATATTTTCCATCATAAAAAGTGAAACAAAGTTCTTAATTGAATGTACTCACTGATTCAGGAAATTAATCAGGAGATAACTACTGCAGTGCAATGATCTACAAATACATTACATGAGCTATGTTTAAAGAGATGTTGTCTAAGCCCTTACTAAACTAAAATAACGGGCCAGAGGTGGTAGGAGGGAGAGAATCTTGGTAAAATATGTTGGCCTTTAAGAAGCTTTTGCCCCATTGGAAAATACTTCTCTCTACTTTGACACTAACTACCACATGAGCTGAAAAGCATGTCTAGCATAATTCTTTTTTTAAGGGGGCTAAACTGAATCATTCTTCAAAAAGATTATGGATTTTTCAGTTCAGGTTATAAATACAGGTTTCCCATGTATAAATAGTGCTAATACAATAGANGAAGGCGGAGCAGGTGGTGCTTTTGGCTCCCCCATGGACATCTTTGATATGTTTTTTGGAGGAGGAGGAAGGATGCAGAGAGAAAGGCGGGGTAAGAATAACCTTGTCCACAGCCACCAATTCAAAGTAGCCCTTGGTCAAAGCAAGTTCTTGGTAATTCTCCTATTTTAAACGCTGATTTACATTTTGGTGTAATGTTGCAAACTGGCTGTGAACTGCCATTTTGATTATGGTAGGGTTTTTTTTTGTTGTTGTTTTTTTAATGAGATTGGGTGAAACTAAAAGTAGATAAGCCAATCAAGTGGTGACAAGTGAATGCTTCTAAAGCTCTTGGATACATACAACACAACTTCAGTAAGGTTATGAAGTGTTAATAGAAGGAACAAAGAATAGGAACATAATTTTCAAAGCCCTTTTTACAGTTCCCATTTGACAAGCTCCCCAACCCAGTGGGAGGGATAGTGGCCTTATTCAGTGGCAAGTGAGTTAAAGTTCAGAAACCTAGACTTTACTTGAGGTCATACATAGCAAGTCACCAGTTTAATCAGGATTGGAACATAGGTTCATTTCCTCCAGATAGCCTGTTATCTGTTGAATGTTGTTTCGGCTTTATTATATCAAAATATGTGCCCTTAACGTTTATCAAAAATGTCATTTCCTAACTGTAGAAATAGTCTTCATAGGAATACAGTTTTCCATTCAGAAACAGTCTTACTTTGTTCCCAGCATAATTTACACAAATGAGGGCTAACGGGTTGAGCTTGTTTTAGAAGGAATAGGCAACCCATTAAATTTCACATTGAGCTTTTTAAAATTCATAAATCCTGAAAGTTGTTTATTCAGTTTTTCTTGAAAGGAGTGTTTTTTTTCTTTTTAAGGAATTTAAAACAATTTGCAATCAAAATCAATTGCTTAGAATCATTTTTTCCACTGAAAAGTAGCAGTGTTTTTTTTAATTTCTCTTTTGAATAACGAATTGACTGGCAAATGCTTCTGTGTGATTTAGATCATTGCAAAGTCATTTTTTTTGTGTGTTTATGGTACCAGAAAATACTTGCTTAATCAAACAAGCTTTTTTTTCCTTTTCCTATACTTGCAGCTCTATAAAGCTAAAGTAAGAAGGGCAGCTTTCAGCATGCTGGAACCAACTGCATTGGACTATATTTGAGATACAGAACCCAAAGATGGAGCTAGGAACAGAAAGATAAAGTTAATAGTACTTCATATTTATTTGGAAACTAAAAATGTTCACAACAGGCATGTTGTGCAGATAGGAATTTGAGAACTTTTACTTAGGCGTAAGGCAGGCAATATTGTTTTGTGGCGGATAAAGTCCTTGTGGAGGAATCAGTAGCTAGGAACTTATTAACCATTGGCAGGCAACTTCATTTCTGTAGTCTCAGTGTCCTTATATGATCTCTACGTACCATTTCCCATTCTGAAATATTGTAGTCCTGTGTAGTTATTGGCCACATTAAGTTTAGGTTAATTCAAAACAAAGACAAAAATTCAGTTCCTTGTCTACAGTAGCCACATTTACATGCTCAAAAGCTACATGTGACTAGTAAACTCTCTTGGATAGCACAGATATAAAACATTTTCATCACTGCAGAAGTTCATTTGGACAGCACTATGATCCAAGGATATGAGAGGTCTAGCCTTTAAACTAGTGCTGGCGAAGCAATAAATGTGCTGGTCGTACTTCAGGGAGAAGTAAGAATTGATATTCTATGGAGACTGAATAAATGCACTTGCCAGCCAATCTTGATTAATTGGAATTTAGTGTAATGAAGTAATGGGCTATGTTGCTCAATAGCACAGTAAGTAAAAGATTCAAAGGATATATTGGGACAGAAATGCAGTTTGGAATAATTGTTGTGAAATGTTCCTCTACTTAAATAGCATTGTTTCTCAGGTGATTCTGCAGTTAATGTTTTTGATTGCATAAATTGTAAGATGGCAACAACTACATTAGTCAAATTACTTAATTTCACCTAGTTTTTCTCATCTGAAATTACAGTTTGAGGATCATGTGTGGATAATATGGCCAACAGTCTGTATATAAAGATAACAGATGTACCCTGTGAGCCTCGTCTTTCATTATCTTTAACAGTTTTATAGTGTATTGAACACAAAAAAGATGCAACACCTTAAATTTTTAATGAGCAATATTTTGTTCTAGGTAAAAATGTTGTGCATCAGCTCTCAGTAACCTTAGAAGATTTATATAATGGTGCAACAAGAAAACTAGCTCTGCAAAAGAATGTGATTTGTGANCAGGGGTTGGCAAACTTTTGAGATGGAACGTACCTAAAGAGCTGCATGTGGCTCGTGAGCCGCAGTTTGCCGACCCCCGCTCTAGGATACCACCTCACCTGGTTTCGCTCACATCTTAGAGCTGGACTGGAAGCTTCAACCCAGCAGGCAGGTGTGCCAAAGTTCACTCAAGAATGATACGAAACGAGATTATTCTCTAATATGGGTATGCACATAATTTTTTATATGTCCACCATACCATTTCTTCTTTCCGGACCACAGAAGATTACATCTTCCCTGACCCCCTTGCACTTAGGTATGGTCATGTGACTGAATTCTAACCAGAAAAAAAAAAATCAGGAACAAAGTAATATAAGCCACTTCCAAATGTGGGTCTTAAAAACATCCAATATAGCCTTCCATCTGTCTTCTCCTGAGATCTGGGACACCACATATTCCAAATGACACAGCTAAAAGATGGAGGAGGGCTATCCAACTCATCACATTGTGACATAAGAAAGCTCACTGTGTTAAGCCACTGAAATTCAGGGATTGGTTGTTATAAGAGCTGGCATTAATTACTGTTGCACTGATTCTTATAACATTGAGCTGCTTAAACACATCATAAATCAATTTGACAGAATAAAAAGTAATTTGCCTTTGAAAGGAGATGGAGAGAACTAGCTATATCTCATTCTCCAATCTCCCTGAGGAAGATATGGCTAATCTAGATGGCTGAACAGGCACATTCCCCTTCTCTGCTTTATGTACACCTACCCTATCCACTTGAAGCTGAGGGCTCACTGAAGGATGACTTCTTGAGAGAGGAGGTATCCATACAATTACTTATGAACCCTTTTTTAGTTAGTGATAAAAGTTTTATATTTTTTATAGAGTTCACACTGATAGTAGTCTGGAAGAGGTTTGCTTCAGAGTTCAGAAAGACACAAGCATCAACATCATTTCTTTAGGTGGGCCTTAAGTCAGTAATACTCACTGTCAAAGTTCTCTCCAGTTTGCCAGTGACTGTGCTAAAACAGTAGAGCACAAAGTCCTCCCCCACACAGTAGATCCATTCGCCACGGGGAGAGAGGGCGCAGCAAACAAAGTCACCACCTTCTCTCTTACCAGAGCTGAAGCTTCTGACAATCTAGATCATACCACAGCCCAAGGCAAAAACAAAACACCTGGATTAACAGCAGTTCTAATGCAGCAGTTTAAATGGACATCTTTCCATTGCCATTTTGCACTTTGGTTTACTGTCATTTATAATTACATCACCAATTCTACTCATCATTTGCTAGATTCTCTTGCCTGGAAAATATTCAGCAGATAGGCTATCTAAAGCTAGTGGCAGACAGAAATTTAGACTTCGTATTTCCCAAGTCCCCTATCCTGCTCTTTAGTCTACTGAGCCAGTTTACCCTGAAGCAAATTCATTACCACACACACAACAATTTCTAAGTCAATACGCCACTGTTTCTCAAAGCTCTGCATTCATGCTTCCCAGTTTCTACTTTCTAACAGAATGAGATGCTCTCCCCATTCAGGATGGAACTGTCTCCAAGACCTTGCTTGCTCTATTTTATATGCCATTTAGAATCATCATAAATCAAGCTGAGACACACCAACCACAAAAGGTTAAAAGTTTACACACATACTGTATGATTCCATTTATACACCAATCTCAAAATGACAAAATTATAATAATAGAAAACAGATCAGTGGTTAGAGTTGGCAGGGAGTGTTTTGACTATAAATGTGTAGCATGAGGGAGTTCTTTGGGGGTGATGAAAACAGTCTGTATCCTAACTGTGGTGGTCACATAGATCTACACGTGATGAAATTTCATAGAACTATTAACTTCCCACCTCAAAATGAATGCACGTGAAATCTAAATAAGGTTTGTATTTAACTGAATTGTACCAATGTCAATTTCCTGGTTTTGATCATGGTACTATGGTTATATAAGATGTTATCACTGGGGAAAGGGTACACAGGAATTCTCTGTACTGTTTTGTAACTTCTTTATGAATCTAAAATTATATTTTTTAAATAAGTGAGGTTCCTTGGGAACCATGCAGGTGTCCTGATTACAAACACACATCATGAAGACACTGTTGTCCATCTCCTATTCGAGTTCCACCTTCGATCATGTAGCTAGGAGATGTCCTGAGTTGGTAACTGATATACTCTTATCTCCCTCATTCAGACAGGAATTATTATCTTAAAATCTTCAGTGAGACTCTGAAAAGACTTAAAGATACGTCAGAGCCTCATTTATCCAAAGGATGCAAAAGAAAGAGCAAAACATACAAACACTTTGGGGAAAGGAGATAAATTTTGAGAGGCAAAAGGGATGTTCTATAGATACGTAGTTTAAATAAGCATCTGAATTAACAAATACAGTGTGTGGTTTTTGGAATAGTGAACCCATATTTGGTTACTGGAAGGGCCAGGACCAAGACCTGCTGATTTGGGAATGGCCCACAGGGTATGTGCAAAGGTACTTCCTGGGCACTCACCTGCCCCTGCATGTTCATGATGACCACTGTGTTTGACCTGTTGCACACCACAAAGTGCTCTGGGTTTTTAGGTAGCAGGATCACACTGTTGACAGTGATGTCTGTCCCTGCAGTGCTGCCTAGGGATTTGAAGGTATTTGAGCATTCTGTGGTCTTCATATTCCAGATCTATGACATGAAAATTTAAAGCATAAACATTCTGGAGGTTTAAGAATTTCTAAAGTTTTGAGGTTTAAAAAATAAAAATTAGATCACTAAAAAGAATAAAATTGACTCAGAAAAAAAAAAGTTCTTACTTGGTTTTCAGTTCAAATACCTAGCATTGCCATATGCATAGTTAGCCCTCATCATCTATTTGCTGATTAACTGGTATAAACAAATAAAAGTCACAAAGCTACATAATAAAAATTTTATAAAATCTATAATCTTTTCTTACAAAATTTTCCTAATGAGCTACCTATCTCTTTTTAGATGTGTGTCAACACTGTTAGTTTCATAAACAACCACAAAGCTACCCTCACTGAAATCAAAATAAAACGGGGCCATTTTAGAGTTACATGCTGGGGATCCTATCCTGAGATTCTGATTTGGGAGGTCTGAGGTGGGGCACAGGCGTGTACATTTTTAAAAAGCTCCACACACCGGCCAAGTAGCTCAGCTGGTTAAGAGCTTGCTCAAGAGTGCGAGCTCTGAGCAACAGGGTCACCAGTTCAATTCCCGGCCTGAGCTGAGCTGCCGCTGAGCTGCTAGATGGCTCAGCTAAAAAAAGATTTTTAAAAGCCCCACAAATAATTCCAATGTACAGTTTGAACCACTGAACAGAAGTCACAATGTTAACACACACACGTGGATCCATAAAGTGGAAGCCACTCCTAGCCACTTGTATTACCTCTCCCAGTTCAACATTTCTTCTGGAAATAATTCTCTACCCTAATGTTTTTCACCTCGCCCTCTAGGCTTTTATGACTTGAAAGGGTTAAATCAGACATCTGAGATGTGCTTAAAGAAGAGATGGGCCAAATAGTGATTGTAGGGCATTGTCTGGACACCACTCACTTAATGAGGTATAAAAGCCTCAAGGGATTATTGGGTTGTTGGAAAAGGCATAATGTATTTTTCCTGTTTTTCGTTGCAAAAATGCGTCATGACTTTTCCAACAACCCAATACAATATATTGTGTTTCCTATGTAACTTCATCAGAGCTCAGCACAAAACAGACGCTGAATACCTATAAACTAGAGGAAATAGTTGCTCCACTAGTTGCCCCAGTGTTTATTAAACACAGTTATCATCTGTCCCAATCTCCTCTCTAAAAGCCTAGTTGCCTTGAACATTTCAGGGACCAAGAGTTCTAAGGCTTCCTCTAGTGTTTTCTGTCCGAAAAGTCAGTGACATGCTTCTCCCCATGCATTGCAGAACTAAAGGAAAAGACCTCAAAACAAAGAGGCCTAGATAAATGACCTCCCAACAGTATTTTACATATTTTAAAGCCCTATATACATAACACAAAGAGGGAAAATCCCATGACTCAAGTACTGAGAGTTCTGTATTTCCCCATTCATCCTGAGGAAGAGTTTATCTCCTGCCCTCAGGTTCCTGGTTCAATTCCCAAGCCAGAACAGGCAACCTCAGAGGGCTGTTTAGGTCTTTTGCCTCAAAGCACTCACTTACATAAGGCAATTTAAAAGCAGATCCAGAATGTAAATGAAGTGTCTCAAAAATCTCCAGCAACTTCCTATTTGGATTTCTCATCTTTTCTAGGAAACAAGGCCCTACTTAAAATAACTAAATCTCTAAAGGGACTAAAGATCCATTACTTTCAGGTGAGAGCTGGAGGGGAGTAAATAAGAATCTAAGAGGGCTTAGATCTACACTACACCTCTTCTGTTCCTCTATAAATGCCGTTAGGAAAGCCCTAAGGGGGGGCCTGGAATGGGATGAGGCCATACAACAAAAAAAAGATCTATTTCTTTGGCCACTGAGCCCTTTGTGCATTTGACTGTTGTAGGTGAACCATACCTATGGCAAGATTGAGTTTACCCACTGTAAATGGGGATGACACAAGTTTAGGATCCCACACCCTTCCTCTTTTCCTACACATGATAAAGTCTGTTTTGATTTTATAGATTTGAGATTTGAGGCCCCTACACCAATAGGAATTATCCACAGAATATTATTATTATCTCAGACTTACCTCAATTATAACTAAAATAGCTGTTCAAGAGGCTTACTCTACAATTATCACCATTACCACCAATGAAACTCCTCAAAGGGCAAAAATGAAATAGACACCCCAAAATAAACGAGTAGCAAATACTTAACCTTTACAGTGCCATCAGAGGATGCACTTATAATATAATGTCCATCTTGTGTAAATGTTGCTTCGTTAACAAAGGAGGAATGGCCACGAAATTCCTTAAGGGTTTTCCCAGATTTTAAACCATGAATTCTATCACAAATAAAAAGAAATGAAAAGAACAATTAATATTCTATATATTATGGTTGGGACCAAGTGCTGAGTGCATTTTAGATGAATTATAGAAGCTTATAATATTAAGTGAAGCAAGAGAGCTATACAATTATATACGCAGTATAATTTTAATTATGTCAAGCAATCAAAGAAAACCAAAACAAAAGGTTGGAACAGAGACTAGAAGAAAATATGCTAATAATACCATAGGCTTCTTTCTGTTCAGGGACAGGCTTGTAGTCTTGGCTGAGTCCCAGGAACCTGTATTTGTAATATGACCTCTAAAGTGATTCTGATGCAGGTGGGTCCATAGGCCACTTTGAGAAACATCAAACACTGCTATAATCTCTTTCTAATCTCTCTTCTGGGTAAAGACTCAAATGGACAATATAATAGCACTGTGCCAGCTGTACTCTGACTGGGGAAATGAGGGCTCTTCATATACCCTCCCTCTCCACATAGCACCTCCCTCCAGGGCTTCATCATATCTAACCCAAGTGCGGGCAGTTTGGAGATTCTTACTTACCTAATTGTCTGGTCAAAAGAGGCACTAAGGATCTGACTGCTATCCTTAGAAAAGCTTAGACAGGTGACACCTTTACTGTGTGCCCTTTCAAATCTCCTTAAACACTGTCCACTCTGAATCTTCCAGACCTTTATAAAAAAAAAAAAAAGAATAGTGAAAGCTTGTAAATAAAGTGTCCCACTCTAGCCCACAAGGCCTAGCAAGATGCCATGCTCACAAATGTACTAAAACAGCATTAAAAATGCATGCTAATAGCTGAATATGATATATCTGGTCCACATTGTACTATGATAACTGAATCCTGTGAAACTTAAACCTCTTTCCTTGTCAATTATTAAAACAAAAATTTAGCCTCTAAGTTCACTTAGCAGAGGCCATTTCTGTATTTTATCTAGCCCAGGGCATTTTACCAGCAATTAAATAAAAGCCACAGCTAATCGGCTGCAGACCATTCCATTCCCTAAAAAAAAAAAAAAGTACAATTCATCATATAAGGTGAGCTAGGGTGGTACAGCAGAAAGGACACAAGCAGATCTAAATTCAAGCCCCAGATCTATCACTTACCTTAAACAAATTATTGGACCTCCCTAGGCAGAATTATTGTTAGGATTCAACAAGAAAAAGTGACTAGCACAAAGTTGAAACAGTTCCTGTTATTAAGCTGAATATTATATGTAAGACACTATCTCATGACAAAGCTCTCAAAATGTCTACATACACATTTGTGCCACTAATCCATACCTTGATTTTTCCATCTTGGGCCCCAGTTGCTAACATTTCTGTATCTCTGCTGAAACACATGCAGAGGACAGCATCATCCATCATCATAAAGTTATCCTGGGCCTGGTACTTGAGATCCTAAAGGGAACAATGATAAGCAGTTATCAAAAAAACAAAAACCCAGTTACCCCAGATCTCTACAAACTCACTAAAGGCAGAGTAATGGCTTGTACCTACTCTAAATCTCCAAAGCAAATAGTAGTGCCATGCACACGTGTCCTAATGAACAACTGATAATGCTGGGAATAATTTTACACAATTCAAACTAATAGTGTAAAAAATGCCAACATAATGCCCTACATCTTTTGCTTACTGATCTTTTCTAAGAAAAATTTCCCTAGTTTCATACTGTACATCTTTAATAAATCTGAATTTATTTACCTTAGGGGTATGATGAGAAAAACTAGTGTTTTTTTCCAAATTGTCAGCTACTTTTCCTGAAACCATGTATTGACTAACCTATTTATGTGATGTTTTTGTTATCATCTATTATTGTTCCAACTGAAGTATTTTTAATTTTTTTGTAATTATAAACTGAGACTGCTTCATGGTTAAAAAAAGGCAAACTATAAATATATATACAAAGTAGAAA